CTCACATCCATACATGACTACTGGAAAACACCATTCTTACAAAAGTACAATTGACCAAGCAGTCTCCTTCTCAAATTTCTCATTCTGGGTCATTAAACCATGTTTCTCCCAAATAAGAGAAACAGAATAACACATGGAAAAAGAGCTTAGATATCTATTAGGTCTACTTTAAGTCAAACAAACAAATCACTACAACAGGAAAAAGATGAAAAATAAACTCAGGGTCAAATATCTTGAATTAGAAATCTGGTTCTAATATTCTTTACACTTCAGTTCTTCATCTGAATGAAGCAGAACAGAGTGGCAGTTTCACAGCATGCAGTTAAATGAGGTAATGCATGTGAAAATACTTACCACAAAGAGTAGGACATAGTTGATGTGGAAGAAATGTTTGTTGAGTTAATCACTCTTTACCGTTGCTGTTAATTGTTAAGTTGTGTCCAACTCTTTGAGACCCCATGGGCGGTGGCACACCAGGCTCCCCTGTCCTTCACTATCTCCTGAAGTTTGCTCAGATTCATGTCCAGTTGAGTAGGTGATGCGACCTAACCATCTCTTCCTCTACTGCCTCCTTCTTCTTTTGCCTTCAGTCTTTCCCAGCATCAGGATTTTTTCCACTGAGTCAGCTCTTTGGATCAAATGGCCAAAGTATTAGAGCTTCAGCATCAGTCTTTCCAATGAATATTCAGGGTTGATTTCCTTTAAGATTGACTGGTTTAATCTTCTTGCAGTCCAAGGGGCTCTCAAGAGTCTTCTCCAAAACCACAATTCAAATGCATCAATCACTGCTTAAACTGACCATTTCTATCAGCATTACCTTTCTTTCTCTGATTTATCTCTTTCCACGGTCTCTACCCTTAGGCCCTAACAGACCTGCAGAAGCAAGTTGTTTCTGATCTCACTTTCCCATTTTCCAGCCCAAATCTATCCACACACTACAGCTCTGACAATCTTTTAAAAATTCATTCCCCTATTCAAAAACCCAAAATAGAGGTTTTATAGCCTACAGGCCAAAGAACACAGTCCTCATCCTGCGTTTATCCTCAATCCATCCACAGAACTCTTTCAAACCATTCTTCCTGTGGTTTCAGCGTCCACCCTCCCTACTCTCGTGAGCTGGGTTCCCGGACATACACAGTCTCAGCTGTGAGGTCAAGCTATGCCAGCCCAACTCTTTCTGGAAGCCTACTCTGGCAAATTCAGAGGGATTTCTTCCCAGAGCCAAAGGCATTGTTAATTACATCTAATCTTGTATTATTCTCTAATTGTTTCACTTATAAATGTGGGAATCCTACTTCTCTGAACAGGTTATAATGCTTTGACCAGTTTTTAATGTCTACTTAATATCCCTCCACAATGCTTAAAGTGAATTGTAGTAAACTAAAAACAAAAACAAAAACAAACACCTAAGAATTCTGAATAATCTAAATTCTTATAAAAACAAATTATAGAAGATTTTTCCTATAATGTCAATTTATATGCTTAATCATTTTCCCTGAATTAACATCCTGAATACAAATGTATAGGCAGAGAAAATATTAGCAACTTAATAATACTTTTTATAACACTATAAATCACCATTACTTCTGTAAAATAACCTATTGCATCTATTTTTCACATGTAGTACATTTAAGGCAAATTTTATATGTCAAAAAATGTCAGTGATTCCTAAAACTTAAAAAACACTACATCTATGTTGTAAAATATCTCCTTGAGTCAAAACATCTCTGCCCACATCTGTGGCTATTGAGCAGGGAATTTGCTGGTTCAAGATTAAAGGCAAAGTTCCTAAGGCTGTTTTTATACAGTTCCTGAGTCATGGATGAGAAACTCTGTTCCTCATTCTCTCTTTTCACAGTGGAGGTAGCTTTTCGCCTACTGTTTCTGAGATGGCTACAGATTAGCCACTTACAGTGTTGGTGTTGTAGCTGTTGTGCCTCTTTGAGGAGTGCCGGGTGTACAAAAGGGCAAACTGTCCTGATGGCTTCCTCTGAACAGCAGCCTCGGGTTATTCCTGCTTCTGGAAACGGCTATCATGTCAAACAACTGGACTATTTGGTGATCGTAGTTCATTAAAAAATCTAACGATAATAAGTCAAACAGATTGCATTGCTGAGTCAATTGACTGATTTCAACAGAATCTGATGCCTTATATTGACTAAGAAGTGTAAGTCATCTATCAATGGTGATATCACTTCCCACTATTCTCACTTAATTTCAGATTTTCTATTGTATAGCTTCTGGGAAAAAAAAAAGTTTAAAAGCTTTTTGTTTGCACCATAGATAAACCTCTATTTAAACCAGATAAACCCAGAAACGGCTCCTATTTACACAGCAGGAATTTGCAGCTAATTCATTTGGGATGTTTTCTTATTATGGTATCTATTCTCTGCTAAGTTTTTCAGCAGTGACAACTGAATATTATTGTCATCACGTTAGTCCTCCAAGATAAGATACATTCAGAGTCCTTTTAAGTAAGAATTTTGGATAATTAGATTAGTACCCTGTGCCCAATTTTTTTTTTTAAAGCTAACAGGGAATCTATATTTTATAATTAGGGAAAACATATTTAAAAAAACCCTCTTACTTCAGCATTAATACACTAAAAATTCAGTTCACTAAATTCTAGTGTTTTCTTTCTTATAATTCCCTAACCTATTAAGAGAGCAGTTTTGCCATTTTCTCTCCTTTGAAATAATTCCAACTTTGTACTGCAGATCTTTCTGAAGATATTTGGAGATTTAACTTCAGTGGTGCACAAAACAGAAAATAGAATAATTACTTTAGTTCAAAAAATACCTATTTTGAAAACCACGAATTTCTTCTCTTTGATATGATCACATGTTGAATTTGTTTAATGTTTTTATGAGAACTGACCCAATAAACTTTGATAAAATGCTGCAAACCAATAAAGTTTATATGCAAATATTAACTGAAATTAAGTAAGATGAATTCCAAATACAGGGTTTCTTAAGAGTGAGTTTGATCATCCCAGGTTTCAGTTTTCAGAACTGATCTAAAGTCTTCATAAGGCCACTGTGCCCATCTTATTAGAAGCACAGTTTTGAAATAAAAAACACACTGCTTATTTTCTCTTCTACTTAAAAAAAAAAGCAACAACTATAAGTCTGGTTAACTGTATGAGTAAGCATTTTATTCATATGATTTACCTTTTTCCTTGGATATATAGAGCACACATAGAGAGTGTGATAGAACAAACTCAAATACGTGGGACTCAAATGACTATTGTGAAAAATTCAAATATTCTGTTTGCCTTTAAAGCTACATTAACTATCAGTTATAGTAAAGTGCTTATTATTTAGAATTCTTTTTTTCTTCTATTTGACTACCTACACACAGTAGAAGTAAATATGTCTAAAATTGGTGCTGGCTTTGATAAGCCACGGTGATGACATCAGCCTGACTTCTAGCTTCTGGAATGCAGAACTGAGACCTTACAGCGATTTGTGGACTCTGCGGTCCCAGCATAACTCTCCTTGTCACAACCTATGATCCATTCCAAGCCAAGACTCCTGCTCTAAATATACTACACAATTAAACAAGAGTATTCTGGAATATGGGTGTTGTCAAATGCAGGAGTGGTGGGGGTGGGGTGGGGTGAGAGGAGAAAAGGAACTACAGTTCTGTTAAAAAGTACAAGGAGTTTAAAATTGTACATGGTGTACGACAATGTTCATGTACTTCATATAACTTAATTGCACACTCAAAACTAATGGGAAATTTCATGTTATGTGTATTCTATCACAATTAAAAAAAGAAAAACTCCGGACTTCCATGGTCCTGCCATGAAGATTCCAAGCTCCCAATGCAGGGGACACCGGTTGGATCCCTGGGTGGGGGAACTAAGATTCTGCAAGCCGCAAGATACAGATAAAAACTAAAACAAGAAAAAAAATGTAAAAAACCCTATATGTGGGTGGTTTCTGAAAACTGTGGATTTCAGGAGTTTTTCACAAGTGTCTAATAAGTTGCTAGGTCCGATGTGTCATCTGTTGTAACCCTGTCACAGTGACCAGGTCACCCTTGCAGGAATATTTACTGAGCTAGGTTGCTGGGGGCCTAGAAAAGCAACCATTCATCAGGAATTAGTAAATAGCACTTACACCAAATGTCGAGCTAAAAGGACCGCAGAGGAAAACCTGGAAAGTAAGATGTAAGAACAGGTGTTAGACAAGGAGCATGTGGAAACGTCACTTGCTCCCGGGCCGTGGGCCCCGTGAGGAGCTGCTAAGTGCAGAAACCTCTCCTTCCTATCCCAGGAAGGGCCTTCCCATCAGCGCCGCGCAGTGACCGCAAGGACAAGCCAAGGCTGGTCCGAGGGAGTTAGTAGGCCTGGGGGCCACCGGATGACTGTGGGTTCTCGCACTTCCTAGCGGGCGCAGCGCAATTTCAAAGGACGGAGGCTGGCGGAGGCGAGAGGCCTCTCCACTCTCCTGCCTCGCGTCTGCCTGCTAGCAAGGCGAGCCGCGGCTGCTGCGGGAGGGCGCGCACTGGCTCAGCGGCTGTGCCTGTCCGCGGGGTGGCGGGTGCGGGGGGCGCCGGGAAAGTACCTCTGCAGAGTGAAAATCGACTCAACGTGCGAGAGGTATTTGAAATAAGGAGAAAACCCAGAGTACCGGGCTAGACTTGTCATCGCCATTCTATTCTGCTCCTAGTGCTCCCGGGAGAAACCAGTTTCTGCACCAGCAGTGAACTAACACCTGGGTATCCTCTTACTCTCTCTGATTGGAATGTGAGCACCCCTGGGGTCTCCAGGCGTGCACAGCCATAGCCAGATGCGATGCCTAGCACTTGGAGGTGCTCAGCAAGTAAATGAGGAGCTATGTTCTGAAGCCGAGACCAAGAAGCGCAGGTGGAGCCCTTCCAGAGTTCGCCTCTTGCAGACACGCCCCTGCAGGTGTTGGCACTTCCCAAAGTCTCCCCTGCCCGCCGGCGCGCACGCGCCCACCTCGAACTCCCCAGGCCCTGGAACTACCTACCAGCAAGGGCGACCAGCAGACCGACAGCACGCACATGATCCCCATGAGCTGGATGGCCGTCTCTGTCGTGATTCGGCCCCACTGGGCGCTGGACTGCGACGCCGTGGCCTTGGCCCTGCAGCGGGACACCAGGGCCTTAATGGTGGCCAGGTTGCAGGCGAAGGTGACCACCAGAGCCGAGAGCCCCAGGATGGCAAAGGCAGAAGCGAAGAAAACATTGCCCCAGTTTTGCCGGGAGTTAGTCCCGTTGCCCTCAGGCCGGGTGCTAATGAAGCACCAAGTCCCAGGCCACTGGATGGTATACTGACCTACGCCCAGCACCGGCAACAGGGCGAAGGCGAGCACGGCCAGCCACACGCCTAGCAGCACGGCGCGGGTGACGCTGGTCTTCATGTGGCTTGAGTACCAGTGCGGCGCCCGGGTGGCCAGCGCCCGCTCGACGGCCATGGCGCTGGCAGTGAAGAGCGAGGAGAGCCCAAAGACGGTCATGGTCAGGCCGAAGAAGGCGCACAACCTCCCCGAGGGGTCGAGCTGCTCCCAGTGCTGGTGGGACAGGTAGAGGACGATGACCACCGGGCTGGTGAGCAGCTGCCCGACCATGTCGGTGAGCGCCAGCCAGCCGATGCACAGCAGGAACGACTTCTTGCGCTTGCTCTCCCGGCGCCTGTAGCTCTTCGACACGAGCGTTATGGCCAGCGCGTTGCCCACGAACCCGGTGATCATCATGGTCATCGAAAAGGCTACGGACACCGAGCCGCAGTCCTCGCTGGGCTCCGGGGGCAGCGTGAGGTTGCTCGGCGCCTCAACGGCGCGCTCGGCCGCCCAGATGCCCGGGTCGGAGTGGTTGAAGCGCGTACAGAAAGGGGCGCTCGCGTGGTCCCGGGTCGCCTTCATATTGCCTTGGAGGTGAGGCAGGGACGGCACCTTGAGAACAGCGACGGGAGCCGGCCGACCCGGCGCGGCAGGCGGCGGCTGTCGGTGGCGACCGGGGCTGGGGCTGGGGTCGCGGCTAGGCTGCCCTCCATGATGCGGGGCGCAGCCGCCGCCTCACTTCGCCACTAAGGCGGCGGCGCCGGGGCTCCCAGGCCAAGCAGGCAGCCGCGCCGTCGGCTCCCAGGCGTCCGGAGGTGCCCGGCGCCTGCTATAAGCCCGAGGGGGGCGGGGCGCCCGTGGGCGTGGGCCAAAGTGCAGTGGGAGGAGGATGCAGAAGCAGCCGAGAGCCTCCCTCTCTCTCTGTTTCTCTCTCTCTCTCTCTCTCTCTCTCTCTCGCTGCGGCTTGATCACTGCTTTGGCCCCTGGGCTCCGAACATCCTTCCATTGGCAGAGGACTCCTCTCGAAATGCTCCAGCTCCTGCCGCGACCGGCCGCCCAGCCAGGCTGCCCCGCGCCGCCTCCGGTTCTCTGCCAGAGGAGAGTCGGTGAGAGGCTGGGGCTAAAAGGTCTCCCTCGGCTACCCCACCTCAGGCAAGTTGCCAAGGGGCCCGCCTTCCTCCTCCTCCATCCACAGAGGCTCGCGCAAGGACCGGGTCTCCCTCCCGGCGCTCTTTTGTGGCCCTGGCAAGTTGCATCTCACCTACCTGACCCTGAGTAATCTAGGCAAACCACACTCCTGACGCGTAGATGAGCGTGAACATTTTTCCCTTTCTACTTTGGACGCTCGCATGAGCTTAAGCGGGCCAGGTTGCTCTGTCCCCAGGGGAGCACTGAAACTGTAAAACCAATAGTGCCATAAGATTCAAGGGAATAGGTACAGGAAGACAAAATAAAATCAGACTGTCGGATTCAAAAATAAAGAAATCCCAACTACCAACCCCTTCTATCACCAGCCTAAATTCTTCTCCTTCCTTAACTTTAAATATATATATATATTAATTAATTAAAAATATTTTTAAAATTTAGCTAGGGCAAAAGGGGCTAGAGGCAGGTGGCTGCCACTCACTATTTCACTGTCTCAGCACATCTGAATTATTGAAATCAAAGGCCTGTGGGAGTGAGGGGAGGTGGGCCAGAGAAATAAGGCAAACTCTTAGAAAGCCTGCAACTATCTTTCTCCACCCTGGACCATTCTTATGCAATTAGGACTAGAAACTGCATTTAGATGTTATGAAGGTCTTCACATTTAGTGAAAATGGGCATAATCACTCAATAACATCTTTTATTAAGCCAATATTTTATGTGTTTAACAACCATTTCCCCATTTTTTCTCAGACATCCTCCAAGTATTATTACTCCCCTTTTAAGGTGAGGTAACTGAGGCTCCTGAAGTTAAAGGATGTGCCCAAGTCTTTCAGCAATTCTCCAGTCTCCAACTTCTTATCTGAAGCACAGTGTTCTTTACATAGATACCATAACCACTCTCAACAGGTGATAAGACCATCAGTTCTCAAATCTAGGGAGAGTCTAGTTTTTCTGCCTTTGTATCTTGTCGGGGAAGTGGAAAGATTTTAAAAATTATTTTCGAACTTCATTTTCCCTCATATTTAAGACATTAGATCTAATCGTTCAGCTCAGTCGTTTCCATGGTGTCCGGCTCTGTGCCACTCTATGGGCTGTAACCTGTGAGGCTCCTCCATCCTTGGGATTCTCCAGGCAAGCACACTGCAGCGGTTTGTCATGCTCTCCTCCAGGGGAGCTTCCCGTCCCAGGGATGGAACCCTCGGCATCTCCTGCGTTTTCTGTATCCCAGGTGGATTCTTTACCGCTGAGCCAGTCGGGAAGCACATTTACTCAGCCCTATGAAGATCATTACTCAGACTTCCAGAGCAAGGCTGGGTCAGTTCAGTTGTTGTCTTTTCCAGCTTAGTTGATCTCCTTATTGGATGTAAATGAGTGGTAGGATATGAGAATGGAGTATGTCCCCTTGCATTCTTTCTATGCTGTTGTTTTGACTCTGTATCAGAGTCTGAAAAAAAAATTCATTATAGGGCTATATAGTTTTTAAAGGAGAAAAAGCAAAAATGAAATGTAAACTCTATTTTAACAACATGCATTTAATCACATTACTAATTTTATTTTGTGTTTTACTGTTTTTTTCTTTTACTTTTTTTCAAATTTATTTGTAATGCCATGTGTCTAATGAGAACAACTAAGAAGGAATAGAGAAGTGGTTCATTTTTTAAATTTTCCCCCAAGCTTTTATTAGTTTTAATTAGTCTCAAACTCATATTTGTGAAAATGTTTTTCTAAAGTGTCATTGGAAAAGTAAAATAATATTCAATGGGTATTCCCAGATACAGGTTTTATTCAAAGCATTGGATTGAAAGTACATATCAAAATTTAATGTTATAGCAATAAAACTCTAGTGTAACTGTATATTTATTTTAAAATTTAAGACCTTTTCATGATTTATACATCAAAAAAAACTAAACAAAACAAAGCCAATCTACAATGACATCAAAACTTACTATTTATGAATATTTGTCCTCTTTGAAAATTTTGTTTCCCTCACTGCAGTACACACCAGTTAGACTACATAAGAGTTAAAAGTATAAGGGCATATAGTATCGGTTAATGCTAGCCTCTCTCAAGTCACCTCCACCAATGCCTTAAATGTACTGTATTTCAGAGTTTTTGTACAACACTTTCCTCCTTTCTGTGTATTGATTCCTAAGTTGTATGTTTTGTAGCTATTCACCTTGAAAACAAGTAATTTGGAGGATCTGAGGTGTCACTATAGAATGCTAGCACAGAATGACTCCAGATCCACACTTTGTGTCAGAACAGTCTGAATTGTGTTGTTCTGAAACATCACCGCCCTCTAGTGACCCAAAGGTTAATAACATGCCATATAATTTCTGAACAATACATGCTTCGCTTAAGGACCTCTGATACTTTTCATAGGGACCTAATTCATTAATACATAACTGCTGTCATTCTGTCTTCCTTTGAGTGTCTGTTTAATCAATATTCCAGTGAGGATTAAAGTTATAAAGTCAGGTAACTGAAAGACCACATATTCAAAAACTTTTAAAAAGATTTTAAAGCATGTATTCACCCATTATGTAATTTTAACTGACATTATGCCTAGAAGTGATTTTAGTCCATAAATTTAAATCCCCTATTGTATCTTACATCTTAAAATTCATGACATATGTCAGTACTTAGCTAGTGCTGATGAATTTATTGTATATACTTCTACTGAACTTCTATCAGGAAATCTTAAAATAGACATAAATTAAAAAAAAAATTAAACTAAGTCCTGAATAGTCACTGGAAGGACTGATGCTGAAGCTGAAGCTCCAATACTTTGTCCATCTGATGCGAAGAACTGACTCTTTGGAAAAGACCCTGATGCTGGGAAAGATTGAAGGCAGGAGGAGAAGGGAACGACAAAGGATGAGATGGTTGGATGGCATCACTGACTTGATGGGCATGAGTTTGAGCAAGCTCTGGGAGCTGGTGATGGACAAGGAAGCCTGGTATGCTGCAGTCCATTGGACAGCAAAGAGTCAGACATGACTAACTGAACTGGAAAAAATTAATAAATAGTTTCACACAATCAAGACCTTGATTACCTGAAAATATCTGCAGTTCTTACTCTATAGAGACAACTACTAATTTCAGCATGTTTTCAAGTCATTTATTCAATAAATATTGGGTCTTGTCTGCCAGTCTAGTAGTTAAGACTCCATGCTTCCAATGCAGGGGATGCAAGTTCAATTTTTGGTGGGGAACTAAGATCCCACATGCTGTGTGGTACAGCCAAAAATAAATAGTGAGCACCCACTCTATGTCAGACACCATACAGTTGTCAAGGACATAAGAAAAGCAAAAGTTTCTACATTTACAGAGTTTATATTTTAATGGGAATCTCTTGATTTTTTCCCCAAAATAGCAGAAGAAAGAATGCTAAACTCAGTGGCTTTTGTGATTTGTCATGCAAATCAAGAAACCCAATTTTAGAAACAATGTACAGTTTTGATGAAAAAGTGGAAAAATGTGTACAGTCTTTAGGATCAAATAAGATTTATCTCAGGAACACAAGGTAGATGTAGCTCTCAAACATTAATCAATATAATTAGTAGTTCAGCAAAATAAAGGAGACACTTTAAGTCTTTTCTAAATCAATTATCTGGATACCCTAAGTCCCTTTTATTGACTGCCTCTTTTCCAAACTTTTCTTTCTGTTTCATTATATGCTTAGTAATTTTTAACTGAAAACTGGACATTAAAGTTCATATACTGTAGTGACTGTGGATTTCATTTTTCTTCTGAAGATTACTGATTTGGTAGTGATGGGGTGGTCCTTTTGGCAGTTAACGTGCCTGGATTCAAATGCTAGCATTTTCTCTCCTCTGATAGGCAGCTACTGTTAGCTCTTGTCTCTTCATGGCTACTCTTTAAGCCTCGTTTCCTGTGAATTGATCCATCCTATCTAATGCAAAGAGCCAACTCATTGGAAAAGACCCTGATGCTGGGAAAGACTGAAGGCAAAAAAAAAGGGGGTGGTGGCAGAGGATGAGATGGTTAGATGGCATCACTGGCTCAATGGACATGAATTTGAGCAAACTTTGGGAGAGAGCAGAGGACAGAGGAGCCTAGCATGCTACATACAGTCCATGGAGTCACAAAGAGTTAGACATGATTTACCAGCCAAACAACCAGAACATACCTATGATTTGTTGGTTGTTCAGTGGTGGGGATCATTCTATCTGGTTTATTTGCTTAAAGGGGGTCTCTTCTAATTTCTAGCTGTTCTGTCAGTTTGGGGCTGTGCCCTGGTATTTCAACCCTGTGAAGCTTCAGCTTGCTTTTTTAAATTAGGTTCCAGGGCAATTCTGTCATTCACATATAGTTTGGCTGTCAACTGTAGATTTGGACAGAAGTTCCGGTCAACTCTTTCTGTGGTTCTCATTGTTTGAATTTCCTATTGAAATCTGCAGTGGTTTTTCTAA